TCTGCACAGTAACCAGCAATTCCCTTAATTCCTCTCTGAAGGCAGTTATCACAATTACCCTTTTCCCAGACTTCTAAACAAAAACAATAACAAATTGTCATCTAGGGAACTCCAAATGAAAGAAGCACCAACAATTTTGGCAGCACTAAAGCATAAAAAGTTTTAGCAACATGGCACCACTCCTTAAAACAAAAAATCTTTTTTCGATTGCCTGCTGCTGATTTAACTGTGATTTTCCACTTACCAGACAAACTACACAACAGTTAAGAAAGCCCTGAAAATTGCTGAATCCACTCCCACATAATAAGAGCGAAGGACAGCTGGGAAAAATTTTGGAGTTCTAGAAATGCTTCTGTTCTGTCAAAAATTTTGTTTGCAATACCAGCTGTAGCATCTGGCTTATCTTATGACTTCAATCCTCCTTTTTAGAAAGCGCTTAAAGAGATTTTGAAAGCCACTGTACAAGCTGTCTGGAGTCCCTGCTGCCATTGCTGCCCTCTGGCTCAGAGACCCTGGGCATGTTTGGTTATCCCAAATCCCTACATTTCACCCGTGGCTGTTCTCCTGTCTGCAAAATGTGACAACTCACAGTTCCTCCAAGTGGAAAGCGATGACACTCTGCCATGCAAATATGAATATGGGGTATCATTAACTCCGTTGATGAACCTCTCACATTGGCAGAGAAGCTGAAGAGGAAAGTCATTATCTCCTCGATTTAACTGTTAGTTGGTGCTGCTACCCTTTTCCTTCAAAAAATAAAATTGTATTGGACTGCAGAATCTGCCTCTTGGAGAGCAGTGTTTATGTATATGAGGCAGCATTTAACTCCCTTGGGATAATCCTGCTGAAGCCAATTGGTTTACTCGAGTTATACGCCCGTATTTGCACAACAAAAAGCTAGCAAAGGCTACAGAGGACGATTTACAAATAAGAACTCCCACTGCCACAGGCGAATCAACTGATTAGGAAATGCAAATTTGTCGAGTGTAAGTTCTGGGAGGGAAAGGAACTGCTAAGGAGCATCAGGAAGGCCCGGGGATGTGGGTGAAGGATGTGTGCTGGAGTGGGTTGCCCTCCATCCTCTCTGCTCTCAGAAGTGTGAACACCACACGCCTGAGTTCTGTGTGTGTTCTGTTCTGAGTTCTGTGTGTGCACTCAGGATCCCCTGGCCAGGATTCCACAGTGAGATCCTGGCCCTGCTGCAGTCAGTTGTCTCACCTAGGGATGTTAAGACAACAACCCCCCCTGACAGCATTTCTGATTGCTTGATAACAAATGCAAATAAGAAAAGCAAATCATGCTGTAATCCTCTCTGCCTGAGATGGGACAAGATCAGATCACAGTTTGTGCTGTGATTTAGTCCAGTATGTAGAGGCTGACGATTCCTCTCTCACTGTGACCTTAAAAAGTAAGGTAAGGGGAGGTCACAAGGAGTGGTACATCCCTCTCCCATCAACATCCTGCAGCTCTTTCAGTTGACTTGCTTCACATATTTAATGTTATTTAGATTACCCACGCTGGCACCATCAGCTGCTGCTGTCATAACCTCGTGTGCACAGGCTGATGTGACACAGCTCAGCAACTGTGCAGGACCCATGGACATCAGCCTGCTCTAGTGGAAATCCCTAGACGGAGCAGGGAACATAACTTTGCTTCCCCAAATTTATCTGATGTTAAATTGGCTGAATTTTGTGGTATTGAGGGTTTAGGAAATACAGAGATGAGACACAACAAGCTGTTCCTCAGTTTCTAAGATTTTACTCTTTCCCGTATTTTGCAATACTCTGATTTATCTACTGTACCTTGAAGTAGTTTGGGTTTTATTCATCACAGCTCAAACTTAATTCTGTAATGCTTTGGACTATCATTGCTCAGTTTTTGGCATATATCAGTTATGACACAGGACATTCCTTTTCCTTCAGGAAGGTCTTGAAATCATATTTATGAAAATATGATTTAGCATGCTAGGGTCATTATGCACATTTTTATACCAAGATTCACACCCAAGTGTTCAAGAATAAGAACCTGGCTGGTACCTTCCTCAGGATGAGAAGGCAAACAGAGGTGACATAATTTTGTCAATCAAACTCATGATTCGTTAAAACTCTCTCGAAAGAACAATTCTTCAACTGATTTTGCAGTGAATGTAAACATCTTTCTTTCTGTGTTATTTCAGCTTTACCCAGAGCCTCAGGCTTTCTACATCTCTGTACTCATTTCTGTATCACACACTGCAGGCTGAGGCATCTTGGGACACAGGGAAATAGTGCTTTTCTTTCTTCTTTTTTCCAGCTCTCTTAGTTCTGCACCCTGGAAAAAGCATGTTCCATTTGCATAGCTCCCCTCACTCACGGTGCACGCTTTCATATTTAGCACAGAGATTTGTTTCCTAAACCTCATTAGGCAGGGAATATTTTTACTAATCCAATTCAGCAAATTATAATTTTATCAGAACCGTCCTTTTAGAAAGAGCTTTTGGAAATTGCCCGGCAACTCATCTGGAAAATGTGTGGAGATGGAAGGATTTGTTTTCCAAACAGAAAGACTCAATCTCTCATTTGAAAAAACACCAAACCAACACAGTACAGTAGTTAATGTTGCTAACTTTAATATCTGTTTTCTGTACCACAGATAAAAATTCATCATTGTACAAGAAAAAACCTTTACATTAAAAGTCTCTGCAGGAGCACGCATTGCCCTTACCAGTGTTGTCAATATTCAGTGTTCCTGACTAGTGGGAAAAGGGGACACTCTGGAATCAGCAGTGTGGGGGTGTCACACTGACAAACACGTGCATAAATTTCTTCTGTTCCTGAGCCTCTGTTAAGGAAATTTTCCTGTCCGACCATTCAGGAGCCACTTTGGGAATCCCACTCACACCACCCCAGACAATGTTTCAGTGCTCTGTTTCTCTTAGAATGAAAGAAAATAGCACAAGATTTAATGAACTGGTTCAAATTTTATTATTTTGCATGGGTTTGACTTTGATGAAGGTATTAAAGTACTAACATGCTAATTAACGATGACAAAACAATGACAACTCACAGTGGATCCAGCTTGAGCAAACAGCAGCAGGAAGAATGCTGAGGTCATAAGAATTAAAAGATAATTAAAGATGCATTGGCTTATGCCTTAGTCATGGACTGAAAATGTCATTAAAGAAATCATCAAACCACCTATAAATAACTCTCTGATTATTTTTCAGGGAAATTGTCAGATGTTTCAACTCTACTCAATTGTCTGTTTTCCTTCCTCAGCAGAACAAAGACTGAAATGTTTATTAGATTATTTAAATGTTATTTAAATGTTCTTTTATAGATTATTTAAATGTTCTTTTATAGACCACTGTCTACAGAAAGAGTAATGTTTTCAGCATATACAGCTAAGGGAATAGCAAGAAAACTTTATTGTGATGAAAAATGAACTAATTTTGAAGCAACAAAACAAGGACCAAAAGAAGAAAAAAGCACAAGGTCATGTTCTAACATGAAGTAAAATTCAGATGAGAATGGAGGATAACCACATTTTCTATCCTTTTACAACCCAACCCAGAACATAGCACAGGGTATTTGATTCTGCCATCCAAATATGACTTGATTATTTATTTTCCAGCACTAAAATAAATTACTTTGGGATGGAGCCTTCCCTTGAAATCCGAGGTATACACAGCTCATTAGTACTGCCCTCTGCCTACTCAGCACAGCCACATCCGTCAGCCTGACCATGTGCTCTGCCAGACCCACGTCCGTAGTTTCCAAGGGGAAAATTGGGCATAACCAACCCCACGGGCAGCATTTGGCTTGGCTTTCCATGGGCTCACCGGTGGGTTCACATGAATGAAGGTGTCCCTGCACCTTCCACTATCCCAGGTTGCTCCAAGCCCTGTCCAACCTGGCCTCGGACACTTCCAGGGATGGGGCAGCCACAGCTTCTCTGGGTAACCTGTGCCAGGGCCTCACCACCCTCACGGGGAAGAATTTCTTCCTCATACCCAATCCCACTCTGCACTCTGTCAGTGTGAAGCCAATCCCGCTTGTCCTGCCCAGATGCACCTCCATGACTCCACTTTTCAGAGCTCTGTGGCACAGCAAGTTGGTGTTCCTGGTCAGGTTTTCCCCCATTCCTGATCCTGGCCCTAATCCAATCCGATTTTTCCAGCCCTGATTCAGGCTGGGTTTCCCCCATTCATGATTCCATCCATAATCCAGTCCAAGTTTTCCCCCCATTCCTGAGCACAGCCCTGATCCAGTCCGGGTTTCCCCCCTTAGAGGTTCCAGCCGCGATCCAGTCCTGGTTTTCCCCCATTCCCGATACCAGCCCTGATCCAGTCCTGGTTTTCCCCCATTCCCGATACCAGCCCTGATCCAGTCCGGGTTTTCTCTACTAGAGATTCCAGCCCTGACCCAGGCCCGATTTCCCCCCATTCCTGTTCCCAGTCCCCATCCAGGCGGGGTTTCCCCCCATTCTGGATCTCAGCCCCAATCCCATCTGGGTTTTCCCCACTAGAGATTCCCGCCCCAATCCGGGCCGGGTTTCCCCCTATTCATGATTCCAGCCCTGATCCAGTCTGGCATTCCTCCCATTCATGATTCCAGCCCTGATCCAGTCTGGCTTTCCCCCCATTCCGGATCTCAGCCTCGATCTCGTCTGGCTTTTCCCCATCAGAGATTCCAGCCCCGATCCAGTCCTGGTTTTCCCCCCATTCCCGATCCCGGCGGGCTCCAGGCCGGGTTTCTCCCACTGCCCGTGCCGCGCAGGCGCAGTGCGGGCGGCGGGCGGTGCCGGGCGGGCTGCGCGGGAGGCCCGACCCGGCCGGTGCCGATCCCGGTGCCGCTCCCGGTGCCGATCCCGGTGCCGCTCCCGGTGCCGCTCCCGGTGCCGCTCCCGGTGCCTCTCCCGGTGCCGCTCCCGGTGCCGATCGGTGCTGATCGGTGCTGATCCCGGTGCCGCTCAGTCCGCGGTGCTGATCGGTGCCGATCGGTGCCGACGTGCCTCGGTGCCGATCCCGGTGCCGATCCCGGTGCTGATCCCGGTGCCGATCCCGGTGCCGCTCCCGGTGCCGCTCCCGGTGCCGCTCCCGGCCCGGGCCATGTCCGAGGCGTATTTCCCGGTGGGCCCCGGGCTGGGGATGGAGGAGAATTTCCTGTCGCTGGACGACATCCTGATGTCGCAGGAGAAGCTGCCGGGGCGCGCCGAGAGCGCTCTGCCGCGCCTGGCCCTGGCGCTGGGACGGGGGGCCGGCGGCGCCGAGTCCGTCCCGGAGGTAACGGGGGACAGGGACAGGGACAGGGACAGGGACAGGGACAGGAGCCGCCCCCGGGGGATACGGGACTGCCCCGGGGCCGTGGCCTCGCCCCCACCTCGTGTCCCGCCCCCCAGCCCCGTCCGCCCGCAGGTTCCGCGGTCACCGCAATGGAATTGATGCTTCCCCCTACTTTCTTTTAGAAGTTATTTTTACTTTTATCGTATGCACTTTGTATGGTTAGGTTTCTGTGTGTGGTTTTGTTTTTTTTTTTTCCCCTTCTGACGTTTAATAATCTGACAATTATTAGGCTGCAGAGCATCAATAAAAACCCCGCTTTTTGAGTCTTGTAGTAATAACGCCCCTAAAGTGTGTCTGTTTATGGTACAGTCACAGTAGACTGCTCTGAAAAGAAAATTGTGTTTCTGTAACGCTGGATCTTCGCTTATGAAGTTTATTTTCTGTCTTTGCGGCTGCTTAATGTGTGTTCTCGTGGAAAGGACAACTTCTATCTTTCTCTCGTTCCTCCAGGGATCGAAGCTGGAAATCCCACTGTGGCTTGCTAAAGGGTTCCACGACAGCAAAAGGAGAATCATTTCTGTGGAACTGCCAAATATCTACAAGGAAGCCTGGAGGACAGTGTTCAGTGCTGATGCCAATGTGGTTGATCTGCATAAAATGGGGCCCTACTACTATGGATTTGGCTCACAGCTGCTGAATTTTGACAATCCGGAGAATCCTGAGATAGCTCAGAGTATCCTGCAGGCAAGTATCTGAACTAAGGCTTGAAACACAGTTTTGCATTCTTCTCTCTTCCTGTTTTTCCCAGCTGCACAGCAGCCTCCAGAAAAAATGTCCTGGTTTTATCCAAATGACTTCTGGGCTGATTGTGAATTTCTAGATCAAGCTGTAGGATGACCCTCTTGAATACTGCTGGAAGCTTCAAGTGCGCATCCAGGAGTGTAACTTCAGCCTCGAGTTTCCACACTCTCAATCTGGTGTTTCAAAAAGTCTCGTAAAATAAGACTAGAGGAGATGTGGGGTCATTTAATTGTGCCTGTGCTGCAAGGCAGAATGAATTCAGTCAACTGTTGTTTCAGTTTTTCTACCCTGTTTTTAAAGCTCTGTAACAATGAGACCTCACACTGCTCTGGGCAATCCGTTTCAGTGCTTCTTCATCCTAATCACAGAAGGTTTGCTCTGATGTCTAAACCAAAGCTCCTTCACAGCAATACAAGCTCTGTTCTGTTTGTCTTGTACAAAGTAAATGCTGAGGACAGAATATTCTCTTCCTTCCTGCAGCAGTCCCAGTTCATTTCATATCTGTCTGTGGCTCGTGTTTTCTGATCTCAGATAGTCCTTATTTCTGGGATCTTTCCAGTGGGTCTGCATCCACTCTGCCATGCCCTGTGAACAGCACAGTCTCGTGCTCAGGACTTGTGCTGATGAAAACAAAAGGATTGTTTTGTGAGCTTTCTTAGGCTGTGATGCTCGTGGTGCATCGTGGTGCATCATCTCGTTTGTCAGGATGCAGTGACTGCTCTGTGGTTGGTCTGCAGTCCACAGTGAGATGGTAGAGGTTTCATACACAATTTGTTTCTCTTCCTGACTTTGTACAATTCCCTATTTCTGCCTTAATGCAAAACCTTCTATTAGTCCTGGGAGAATTACATCCTATCGTTTTCACACCTTTCTAATTTGTCAGGATCACTGTGAATTAAGAGTTCTGCTCCACAACATGCCTGCAGTCACCCCTCCTCCTTCTCCTGCATGATGATTTAATAAGCACAACTTCTTATTCCTTTAGTGAACTTATTAATTAACAACTCAAACAGTTCTTGGTTCCGGGCAGACCCCTGTGGAACTCCACTCACTGTGTTCTTCCCTCCTGACAGGAGCTATGAGTGATGGTTGTCTTTCCCAGCCATCTATGGGGTGGCCTGGCTAAATCTTCCAAGAATGCTCCACGACAGATACCCCCTGCACTGTTTTCCTCCCTGTTCAAGCCTGGCATCCTTCCACAACAGGAAACGAGGCTGGTCCCTCGGAGTTTGTTCTTGGCAGGTCCACATCGGCTGCTACCCTTTTATTCTCTTGCAGAAGTTTATGTATAGTCTGCTTGTTCCATTATGTTTCCAGCAATTGATACTGATGGATTTATAATTCCCTGGCTCTTCCTTCCTCCCTTTCCATCTCCCCTTTTCTCTTTTGAAAGATAGATATTGTCTTCGGCAGTTTCCGGACTTCAGTGCTCCTTGAGCTTTTAACCATAACCACTAACAGCTCTGAGATCTCTTCAGCCAGGTCTCTAAGTGGGCTGGAATGATTGCTGTTGCTTTTTTTTTTTTTCTTTCTCTGTGCTTTACATTGACTGATGCAGAGAGGCTTTAAAATGCTGCTGTTTTCTGGGAGTTGTCCACTGAAAACGTGCTTTGTGCATTGAGGAGATGACCACACCTTTCCTTGTCTTTTCTCCTTCTGCTAATGGGCATCTTAAGGGAAAAAAAAACCCCACAGTAGAACTCATTACTTATTGACAGAAAAATCAAAGCACACGAGGTTTTTGCTTTTTGGTTGTGAAAGCTTCAGCGTTTGAGCTGAGGGAGCCTCTGTGTTAGCTGTCGGTAATTGTGTTTATCACCTTCAGACGTTCATCAACCGTTTCCGCCGCATCATGGACTCCTCTCAGAACGCCTACAACGAGGACACGTCGGCGCTGGTGGCCCGGCTGGATGAGCTGGAACGAGCTTTGTTCCAGGTTGGCCAGAAAGGGCTGAATGATTTCCAGTGCTGGGAAAAGGGGCAGGCTTCTCAAATCACAGCTTCCAGTCTGGTCCAGAACTACGGGAAAAGAAAGTTCACGGAAGTGGATGGTTAAAAACCTGAAGGACACGAAGCTGCGGTGGGGGACACGGGGAGATTTGCAGCCTGTCTGTCACAGAAAAGGGAATCAATTTGGGGAGGGGCAGGCCCCCTGTCCATTAATGGGAATTCTCTGTAACATCTTTGGATTGGACTAATGTAAATTTTAAAGGCAGAGGGCAAGGGCATAAAAAATGGATCACATCACATCACTGAATAGCTTTGCAGCTTACTCATTGCACTCCTGAGGATCTGCAGATAAAGTGTTTGCTGGGTGGCTGAAAGGCTATGAGAGGATTTTCTGAAAGGCTAATTAATATTTATTATTCTTCCAAATTGATGTTTACAATACCAGATCTGGAAAAAAGTGTAAGTTGTGTATCTTGTCTTGCCTTTCCCCTCCCAAACTCCTGGAAACAGCTTGTTGATTTTATAACAGCTATTTCCAGGTTCCCTGTTCTTCGGAGAGCCCCAGTGATGTGGAAAAAATGCAGTGCAAGCAGCATTAATTATTTTTCATTTCTTACACACTGTGGTGGAACAGGTGCTCTTTGCGAGGCAGGAATGTTTTTCTTTGCTGACTTCTGTACACAGTGCCCTGGAGAAAAATACCTCCTCAAACCCACACAACAAGTGGCAGCGCAGGTCTCGTGTGCTGCCTTGTCCTCTCTCTCCCTTTTTGACTCTTGTGACCTTGGTGGTGCACAGGGTAGAGAATGTTCCTGTTTGATGCCAGTGGCTTTTGTGATGGATGTGTCTCTGTGATGGCTATTTTAGAGGAGACAGCAGAAGGCAACAAAGAGTCAAGTCTGGCCCGGATCAAAAGCAGCAACTTAAGTGGAAATTCTCCCCTATTATCAACCTCTGAGCTATCTGTTTTCCCATGAGAAATTCTTCTGATTACTAATGATCCTACTAAGTGTCATCCTTGCCAGTAGAAGTGACTGGATTTGGGACTTGCTGACAGCACAGTGGTGGATGCCCTTAAACCTGGATCATCTCAAGTCCCATTGGATTGGAGACAGAAAACAGATGGTTATCTCCATAGGACTTGGTTCCTGCAGTCATCAGGATTGTTGCCCTTTGGAAGCAGGTATGAGACATCTTCTGGGTGCTTCTAAGCCTCTGTAGAAGGTGGACCTTGCAGAGTGCCTAAGTGGAGGAGCCAGATCCTGATGATACTGAGCACTTCCTCTTCTGTGGGAGTGACTGGGAGGTGACACCAAGATCCAAATCTCTGAGGAGTTGTTACTGGACTTGCAGATGCTCCTGGATATTGGATGCTTCAAACAAGTCCAAAGGGTGCGTGGCCATTCCTTGGCCAGAGAAGTTCAAGCTCAGCCTGTGGAGGTGGTGAGAGGGGACAGTTTTCTGGCTTCACAAACATCTTGGTGACCCCACCTCAGCTGCAGAAGGCCAGCTGCCCTGCCAGAGGAGACTAAATGGAAACTGTGCCTAACAAAAGTATGTGGCAGGATCAAATGCTGCTGCACTTAATGACTTAATGGCACCTAATGGCTTATGCATTCTCATGAAGCTTTTGTCTGTTGTCCATTTCTGAATTTTTATGCTGAATAAATATTTTGTAAGGGAATGCTCGTAGTGTGAAAAGTCTGTTGCTAACTGTCCTGCAGCACAAAAATCAAATTGAAAAGGCCAGGTCTCTGTAAAAGTGTGGCCATGATGCAGCCCTGCTTCTGTCATCCTTCTGCTCTTACAGGCAGTGCAGTGGGGAGCTACATTCGTGCAGTCATGTGAGTGCAGAAGTAATTCCTGTCTGACTTATCCCACGTGGGTACTGGCTCTTTGCTCAGGTTGTGGGAGAGACTCTGCCAGCCAATCAATAAGCTGTTGATTTTATAAACTGCATATTTAGGAACACAGGATGGACTGAGGTGACTCCATGTTACCTCGACTTTGTTGTGGAGTGGTGGGTGGGAGGTGGAAATTGGCTATCTCTGTATCCAGAGCACTGTGGAATAGACTACATGTACCATAGTCAGAGCTGTACTCAGTGCTGCAAGGGAGGCAAGTGTAAGTCCATCAGTGACAAGAAGCTTTTTTTCAGTTGGTTTCACATTAACTTCTTGTAAAACTCTCAGCTCCTCTTGTTTATCTCCTCCATGTGCTTTTCTCGAGCCAGACGTGGCAGCCAGAGAGGGCCCACCCCAGTTAAATACAAAGAGCTCTGCAAGCAGCACACACACACACACAATTTCTCACCTATCTAAATTATCTTTTCACAAAACAATCATGTTTCTTCCTTTCTCTCCTTTGCTCTACACAATGTCTTAGTTTGTCCTCTGGCGCTGATTCATTTTTGGTCAGAGAATGGAGCAGCTGATTGCTCCTGCCAGCCTGGGAGCCATGGGTGGTGTCATTTGGACCAGCAGCAACCAGGAGGAGCAGCAGCAAGAAATGTTCTGAGAACTGACATGCCGTAGCACAACATATTATTTTTGTGAGAGGCACAGTGGTGGCACTCAGCTGAAATTAGGAGCACAAGCCTTTTTGATCTCTATCGGTGATTTTTCTACCCATTTTTTGGTAACCAGACATTGCAAAAGCTTCATTCAGTATTTTAATGGAACCAGTTACTGAACAGAGATGTGATGTAATTCAGTAGAGGCAGTGTGAATTCACAGTGTGAATGCTTTCTTCACAGAAGAGCTGCCTCTGTCCCCAGATGTGCCTTTTATAAAACACATTGTCCAGGAACACAGCACATGGCACAGGAGCTGGTGATGTTTTAAATAAACCTAACTATTCATCTAGCACTGCCTCTGCCTGGCAGGAGGCAACCCAAAGCTGTTCCTTGCCTCAGTTTCTTGGCAAGTGAAGGTAACGCTCCCTTGTTAAGAGTGTTTTGTCCTCTGGCTTGTAGGCAGGGCTACAGCAAATATGCCAGCCAGATTTCCACTGCTCTGCTGCATCTGCCAGAGCTCAGATGCCTCCTTGATAAGTGCTTATCAGAGCTAAAAGATTCCGCATCTCAGAAATCGTTCTGGTATCCTTGGTCAGTGCCATTAAACCCTTATTGCAAAGCTTCTCCAAGGCTGCCACATATCTGATAACTTCAAAGTGCTTTTCCCACTCTCTGCTCCTCTCCCCTACCCTGCAGGGTGGCCAAGTGGGTAGTGCTCATTTGCTAGAGCTGATGGAGCCTGAGCACTCAATCCTGAGCAGAACTGTCAGGACTTTGGGCAAAAGCTGGTGCCAGGATAACAGAGTGGTCTGGTTTCATCCTGTCACACGAATGAGTAATGGGGAGCTGAACTCTGCTGGGTGTAACCTGCTGTGTTTTGTGCTGATGAAGCAATGTAATTCAAGCCTGAACTTAAGCCTTTGGCTTTGAGCAGGTCCCACCATAACTGCTTTTGGCTTTGGGTAATGAGGACCTGTGAGGTTAAAGTAGGTGTCTAAGTGGCTTTTCTGTTGCATCTGCCAGGCAAAAACACAAGTCAAGTGAGATTCAAAGCAGAGTTTAGGTTGTGCTGCCTTGTCCTAGATTTGAGCGTGCAAGAAGAGTGGGTGTCATGGTTGGCAGTGAAAGTGAAGCATTACTGCTTGCTGCAGAAGGAGGGAAGTGGGGAGAAAGCTGGCAAGAAAGAGTAGCTAGGGAAGGAGATGGACAGACACTTGGCTGTGCCCCTTCAGTTGGTGTGAGATGTGCTGAGCATGCAGCGTCCTGGGGACTACCCGAGAGAGGGCAGGACTTGCCCCGTGCTGGAGCAACCAGTGCTCCAAGGGGCCCTATAGCACCCTGGTGAGCTGTGGAGGACTTAACACCCTGGCTTCTGCTGTTCTGTCCTTCACAAAGTACTACTTGCTTATTCCTCCTCTGGAAAGGCCTGGGAAGCGGTGTTAGGATTGACTCTTGTGTGTGTTTAAAGGCTGTGATTCAGAGACATCAGAAAGGCAAGAGGCCAGCAGGTTGTTCTCTGTCTGCCAGCCTGAGCCCAGTGCTCAACACATTCTACCCAGAAAGTCAAAGCCCTTCTACCAGGGACAAATTCACTGTCCTGTGAGCCCTGGCTGTGGTGGATGGAGCTGTGCTCTGCCTTTGGCTTCTCCCATTTCTCCATGTCCAGATGACTTTATTGGGACAATGACAAGGAAAAGAAGTGAAGCTGCATCTACCCTCTTTTCCCCACCGCTTGTTGGAGGGAGCTGTCCTGGGTGCCAAGGAGCAAGAAAAGCAGCCTTGGAGAAGTCACTCCCTGCAGTGGCCCTGGAAGCACCTGGCCATTGGAGCAGTGTGCCTGGAGAGGCAGCCAGCTGCATGGAGCAAGGCAGGGAATGTCAGCCACAGTGATCCCTTGGGGTCTGCTTGGGGAGAAGATGGGAAGCAGGGGAGGAAAGGAGAGGGGGAGGCTCTCAGGAGGCAGGGCAGCATTCAGTGCAGTTCCCCATCATTTGAAGGGGTCCTCAAGTGCCTCCACTTACCATTGTAAACTGTAACATTTCAGGAAATAAACTGCAGGTAGAGGAGAGGAGGAGGAGGAGGCAGGAGCCGGAGAGAGTGAAAAAGAACCCAGAGGGAGCTTTAGACAAGGATTGAAAACAAGGGAAGAGGAGACAGTGAGCTTCCACCTCCCCTGGGCACTGTTTCCATTGGGTATGCTTGGTTGGGTTTGCTTCACAGAGGAAATTGCTCTGGGGAGCCTCTTCCCTGAGGGCTGGCCAGGCTTCCCTGTGCAGGCTCCAAGCTCGCTGGGAGCCCATCAGAGCCGACCCCAGGCTCTGCTCCAGGGGGGCTGCTCCAGGGGAGCAGAGCAGCACAAGAGCAGTGGCTGCCCCCGGACCCCTCCTCGGCTGGTGTGGAAAATTACAAGGGGCAGCAACAGCCCCAAAAAGCCAAGGCATTTGTTCTGATTTTCAAAACACTTCATTAATGTCATTGACAATACCAGCAGGTTCCTGAGATTAGCATGCTTCTATTTTTGAAGAGTTATTCCTCGTGGCAGGCTGCCATGCAGTGCCGGTGGCCTTAGTATCCTTCCTATCTGGATTGGCAGGACACGCTGCTCTGTTGCCTTTTGTTAGCCTTTGTGAGGGCTTGCAGCTCTTTGCAGTGCTCCCCCACACCTTGGGGAAAATGTGCCTTCTTGGGGTTTCTCAGCTAAACCTGTGCAAGGCAGAAATCCCTTGTGTTTTAGGACAGAAGCCACTTTTCCTCTGCTGGGTTGAGGCAAGGCACGAGCAGCAGCTGGGCTGAGCAGGGTTTGGGGTGTCAGGAGCATGTAGGGACACAGATGGGGTTTGCAGAGTGCAGTGCGTTCCACCTCAGGGTGCTCTCTGGTTGGGTCTGGGTGCAGAGTTCCAGGCTCAGCATCTCAGGGGAGCAGCACGTTGTGCTGATGCAGCAGGTGAGGGATGTGGCTGCCTTGGTGCACGTTCCTGGGCAGGGCCACATCTGCAGCACTGCATCCTGCTGGGTCAGGATGTGGCACGGCTGAAGTCATGGGGAAAGCAGCTGGCATTCCCTGAGGGAAGGTGAGATTCCTCTGCTCATCAGCTCAGCCCCCTTGGAAACATGAACCGTGCAAGCTGCTTGTCTCCATCTCTAGCTGGAAGGTGTAGGAGTGCAGCAGCACCCCAGGACCATTTCATGCTGCTGTTCTCTTCTTAGTGTGTCTTTAATGCCTGATGCTGTGATATCAGAACTGTGCTGGAGTCATGGCACTCAAATGCTCTGCGTGCTGCTCTTGTCTCTGTTTCAGGCTCAAGTTCTTCTTGACAACTACTCATTAAAACCATGTTACCTTCAATTAGCCTAAGAAATGGAGGAGGGACCTGTAGGGTGAAAATTGCTTTAAAGCTTGGAAACTGTCTTCAGTTTATGCTGGGATCCTGTAGAATCAGTGAAAAACAGCTTCACTTTAAGAAATACCAGTTTTCCTGCAGCTGAGCTTGAGAAACTGCAAGATGGTCCCAGGCTTAGTCCCCTCAGATTTCTCTGTGCCTAGAAACAGGCAGTGAGTGGTAAGGAGATGTCTCCTGAGGGTCATGATGGTGCTGTTCCATCTCTGTTGTGATGCTGTGATACCAAAAAATGTGACAAAAATCAAATGGAGGTTGAAAACTGCTCTCTCAGCTGGTGTGGCTTCTAAGACTGAACTTGTCTCTAGCTGGCCTGTTGGTCCTTTGAGGGCCCTGGGTTCTCCCTAGGGAAGGCAGAAGCACAAGGAGGACTGTGATAAACCCTTACAAACCCTTGCTGGACATAAAACACACTTTTTCCCCTGATTTCAGACCAAGAAGCTACCAAATTCTTGGGATGCAATGTGTCTTTTTAATTTATTTTCTCAGGCATTAGAGGAAAAGTGGAGTGAGGAGGTGACCACAGGAGGCCATCACCCTGTGGCTGAGGGTCTTGGCAACTGTGCACCTGGGAGGAAACAGTAAAGCAGATGCAGTCACCAAGTGCCATCAAAGCAGTCCTCAAATGTGCCTGCTTCTCTTGCTGTGGGATCATCTTCAGCAGGGTGGGTGTATCTTAGCACACAGGTTCCCATCACAGCAAGGATCTAAGATGACTTTCTTGCTTTCACCTCTCTTACAAATAAAAAATTTGTAGGTTTTAGGTGTTTA